CAGTTTATATTCCTTCTTAGAGAAGGCTACTATCTAGAGTAATATGCTTTACCATGTCAGTTTAAGAACTGAACAGATGTGATAAGACAACATTCCCAGAATGAGTTACTGTTCCAATCTAGTCAACCCATAAGATCCCAGAGGTGGGATCGGGCGTGCACACACTTCCTTTAGGACCTAGCAGTGGAATAGCCTAGCACTGGAGTAACCAACACTATTGTCCCCGAAGACTTTAGCTTTTATGCTAAACCCCATCTTCTAGCTCAATGGCCAGTGTTAGACCCCGACTCCATGTGACGCACAACAACTAGTGAGACAACGGATCGATGCCATCATGCATCACCTGCACACATTGCTCATCAACAGCTTTATTCAAAATGGAGACAGCTTTGGGCCAGCTTCAACAAACTGGGGAGCTGCCACGAACATTAGTTCTTTTTATACTTATACACCTTGGTTTATGCTCATTAACATTTTTCTCCACCTTTGTCCCTCCTTTGTTCCACCCATATTCCCTCCTATTTCAAGCTCCACCTCTGTTTACTGTTTGTTTCATTACCATGGAATTACCTATGCATTTCACTTATTTACATGTCTTTTTGCTATGAGCACATACCTAAAACCATGACCCTGGCTTCTTTTGGTCATTTGAGGTTTCTTGCTGATTTTTTTCACCATCTCCAAGGTCTTGTTTCTGCTTATCTTCTAATGACAGCCGGTGGTCTGCATCCTGTTCTTCTTGCACAGTGAGCTATATATATCTTACAACACTACTACATTGTTAAGAAAATGCTTGCCTAAGCGTCTTGTAACGTTACTTTTAATATATCATTCTGCCTTGTGGTTAGCTGCTTTGCTAGGCCACAAGTTATAGCCTTTTATTCAGCTGCAAATCCAATGCTCCCCAAGCTCCAAATACTGTCACCCTAACAGCCAGGAACTCCCATACAAAATAATATATGCAGATGCATTCGACCAAGTGCATATGCTCTTCATCTTCTCTTAAGACTAGTGATAGGTGTTAGGGGTAATATGTAATAACTCATTCTCTAGCTTTCTCTTACAAACATTTCTTCTAAATAGAAATCAATGCTTCCAACCTTCTCACCAAGAAAATGAAGCCTATGCTAGGCCTGGGAGAAGCAGCAAGTATTTGCTTCAGATTTGGATTCAGCCGATACAGGGGGACAGCGATTCGATTCAGTGATTCGAACCACTGTCCCAATTGAGTTTGGCTGATTTGGATCTGGAGATTCTGGCTCCACCTACCCCATGCTGTGCAGCCCGGCAGCAGGCAGCTGAGGCTAGCCTCCTGGAGTGCAGCCCAGACCAGCCCACCCCGCGCAGATCCAGGGGCGCACACCCGCTCCTATGCCCTCCTAGACCAGCTGTGTGTGGTGGCGCGCAGTGGCGGGAGCTCCCCTCCCTGAGTCCTGTGCCCTCCTGCCCCACCTGGGCAGCTTATCCCAGCCCCAATCCCTCCCTTGCTGTGGGGGCGTTGATCTGCCCCCTCCACTCCCCTTCCCTCCCCCCTCCACCCACTACAATAGACTTACCAGCTGGACGCAGCTGTGTCCAGCGTTGTCGAGGACTGCTGCCTGTTTAGTCTATGGCTGAATCCCTGAATTGGTGCTGAATCTCTCCAAATCAATTTGAAGGCTTCTGAATTGATTTGGACCTTGTAATGGGTCTCCCAATTTGATTCAGATTCAGAGATTCGGCCACCAAATTGGACCGAATCTCCTCCAAATTGAATTGGCTACAGAAGCTTCGTACAGCCCTAGCATCTGCCCAGTAAGACTCATGAGCTCAGTCAGGTTCTGGAATATCTTAGCAAAAAACACCATTTAGTCAGACCAGGGATGTCCAACCTTTTTGAATGTGGGGCTGGATCATGAACTTTTTATCACCCGGTGGGCCGGCGAACCATATTCAAAGACCTCACAGGAAGCGGTAACACATCACCCCACCAAAACGAAAGTACAGTGTTTACTTTCATTTCCTGTTGCAGCACCTCGGGTCTCAGAAAACAGCTTGGAGGGCCACATGGTGGCCTGCGGGCCGTATGTTGGACAAGCCTGCATTAGACCAATGCAATCATCTCATGGCGCAGAACTGCCTATCTTCCACAAGTCATCATCAATTCACTGGCCCAAAATACAACTTCTCTCCCCATCATCCATACAAGTCACCTGGGATTGCTAGCAAGCTGTATCAGGTGTGAGTGAAGACCAGACTGCAAGTAATACAACACATACTCAGACCATGAGACATGAGAACTTATGACACAGAATTAATGAAAAGCTATGCCGTACTTGTCAACACCTTATTTGTCCTTCTCTATTACAGAATCTGAAAAATCTCACCCATCTGAACTGTACTATGAAGTGGTTTATCAATCCAAACATATTATTATAAAGAGATCCTCCTGTGTCATGTGTTATGAGGAAATCCTATTTCAATGATGAAATCTCAGGTTCAATTTTGTTTGCCTATACGATCTACCATATTTAGTCAAACACAAGACAAGATTTTTCCCCTTAATCAGCATGGGGGAGCCCCTTTTCTTACACTCATACACAAGGAAAGCTCACTAAATACATTGGCTATCCTTAAACTGTTGCCAACAGCAGCATGTGCTGAGCAAGAGAAGCCAGCTATGAAGCAGATTAAATGCAGCCAATACTGAGCAAGACAAAAACATGTGGCTCATATGGGACAAACATACTGATGAGAACCATTTTTTCTGTGACCCTTAAAAAAAACATACAGTTGCTCCCCCAGGAGAGAACAAGCATCACACCTGGAGCTACTGCAGCACCAGGCCAGCACTTGGAGAGACCACAGCATGCTCCAACACCCTCCCCGATGCCAAAAATGCTGCTGGGAACCTACCACAAGGATAAGTTAATACAGCCCATCTGAAGAAGATATATGACAATGCCCATTGTGTGCATACCCCTCAGCACCAACTCTTTTACAAGTCATTGTGAGCCACTACATTGAATACATGAATAAATTTATACATTTTTCATATACAGAATCTAATTATCAGAGGTATTCTTGTACTCAGGGTCATTTTATATTCAACTAAATATTCATTTATATTCAACTAAATATAAACGGAACAGTAGGATGCAACTAATTCACGCAGAACAGAATTAGAGTCCAGCTATAGTTTCACAGTTGTTAGGGGCTGGAAGGCACCTTACAGATCATCAGGCCCAGCCCCCCTGCACTTGGGCATGGACAGATATACCTTTTAAAAGGTAGGGTATTATGGCAGAATAACCGTGAATCATTATGGCTGCTTGCAAATGTTTAAAAAAAAAAAACAACCAAAAAATGGCACTTCACTTTAAACTTGACTTGCTTCCACATGCTTCCACTGAGCCTAGCACAAGCCCAGAAGAGGCAGTATGTTAATTGGACCCAGCTTGCCTGACATTTGTATAGACTGGGTGCTTTAGTGGGGCATTTTTGGTGCTTTTATTTAATATCTGAAGTGTCTGATCTATACAGTTGCTATGGAGCTGGGTTGATGTAACGCACTGCTTCTTCTGCTAAGCCGCTTTTTTTAATGTCTGCAAGTAGTCTAGAATATTAAGCTCTTTAAATGGTTGTCTGTCCTCACCCACAGTCACAGAAACAGATTCTGAAGATCTATAAGCAAATCCAAACCACTACATGTAAGATACAGCCTTGTTGGGAATCTCCGTGTCCATGGCAGGACAAATCGACCTTACTGAAATATGTAATCAAACCAACACCCAAGAAATCATCACTGCGATCTGATTGATTCACATCCATACTTACTTGAATATTTGCCAGGGTTTCTTTATCATGAAAGGATGTAGACAAACTGAAGAGTGTCCAGTGCAGGGCAACAAAAGTGGTTAAGAGACTGGGACACATGACTTATGAGGAAAGGCTGAGGGAACTGGGCTTATTTAGGCTAGAGAGGAGAAGATAGAGGGGATTTAATAGCAGCCTTCAACTATCTGAAGGGTGGTTCAAAAGAGGATGGAGCTAGACTGTTCTCAGTGGTGGCAGATGACAGAACAAGGAGCAACAGTCTGAAGTTGCAGCAAGGGAAGTTTAGGTTAGATATTAGGGGAAAAAATTCTCACTAGGATGGTAGTAAAACACTGGAACAGATTACCCAGAGAGGTTGTCAAATCTCCATCCTTGGAGGTTTTTATGACCCAGGCAGACAAGGCCTTGAGTGGGATGATCTAGTTGGGGATGGTCCTGCTTTGAGCAGGGGGCTGGATTAGCAGGGACCTCATGAAGTCCCTTCCAACCCTAATTTTCTATGATTCTATGAATGCTCACCATGCTGTTCAGATTTTACATTGGCATATACCCCTTTATTACAACTCATTATACTCATTTCATTTTCTATTCTGTTTTACATCCCATGCTAATGAGTCTTTTAGTTTTGACCAGACAAATCCTGTTTGGCCCTGAACATCTAGAGTAGAAACCATCCATTGTGCTACTTTCATCAGGATTAAAATCCATGCAGCAGCATGAAATACACTGTTTCTTCCCATATCTTATGATTTTATTTCCATGTCCTGTATATTTCACCCTAGAGGAGTGAAATATATAGGACATATGGAACTGCAAGAACTGAATACTAGGTTTAGGATACCAGCAAAACTGTGCTGACTAGCTATTGTGGTCCTTTATACATATACAAATTTGGACATTCTAAATCCATTCAAATTAATCAGGTCTGACTATAAAGCTTTTTAGTCTTAAATTATGCTTTCTCCTTAATAATTTGCCAAAATTCCACTTCTGTTTCTTATAAAGGCAATTAAAATTTCAAATGCTATTATTTTGAGACTGAGGAAATAAACTGGTAGTACATAAAAAAATTTATTGCTTGTGCTGGCATATCTCTTCTCAGAACTAGCAGTATTAAGGTTTGTTTAGTAAGTATGTGTTTAAGCCTCTCTCAGGAAAATCTCCTTAGGTTAAATTTCACTTACCCAATCTATTTTATCCACATTCCAATATTTTTTTAAGTCACGGAACTGCATTAGCATCCCCTTTAGACCAACAACAATGATACTTGCTAGAACACACTGAAAAACAACAAAAAGGGGAAAAGGGGAATTAGGGATTTGCTAGATAGTAAAATTGGCATTTTCCTCAAATTAGAAATTAATGTAATCATAGGCACATTAAGGTAAATGTTTCAAAAATATAATGACTAAAAATAGCCTATAGATGCCTGCCCTGCACATACCATTCCAAACCTCTTGCATAACTTTTCCTAGAATGAGGAAAATGATAATTTTTAAAGGAACTAACCAGGCTCTTCTGCCTAAATGGTAATAGCCCAACATCATTCACTCAGGACCAATGAGCTAGAAACTTACAGGTACTGAGAAGATGAATCCCCTACCCAGATAAGCAGCATTCCTACTCCCTGCCACTTTCTGCAGATAGCCCTGGTGCAGACATAGGCAGATTAATGCACGGGCCAGCTGGGCCCGAGCCCTAGGGCCACCAGTTCAGGGCCCCGAGATCCTCATCAGCAGGGAAGCCAAAGGAAAGTTTTTAACTTGGCATGTGTTTGTCTCCCAGGAGGGAGACAAAAAAAGGCACCCAGTTTAAAATCCCAGCTTTCACATTTGTTTGCCTGCATCTGGGAGCGGGGCCCCTCTGCTACTGTGGAGGGGGCAGACTGGGACAAGCCACCTGGGAGTGTGGCACCGCGGGTGCAGGGGGCAGGCTGGGAGTGCCATGCTGCACATCTGCAGGTGGGCAGAGGTGCTGGGGGTGGGGGGGGGCCTTAGGAGACTATAGACCCCCAAAATTCACCTTAGCCCCCTGTACCCCCAGCCTGGCAAGGTCCTCCCACCCTCCCCTGCCAGCACCAGGAGAGGAAGGGGCCCCTCCCCCTTCTGCAGCCAAGCTCCCATGGAGGGAGGGGGCCTCCAATTTTGTGTATGCCCAGGACCCAGGATCTTAATCCATCTCTGGGTACAGAGAATCCAATTACTTTAATGTAGGATAAAGGCCAACTCTGAATTAAAGTATGGTGCTATAAGTAGGAAGGGGGAGGACAGAGAGTGTCAGGAGCAGGAGGAAAAGATTAAACTGAGTGAATACTGGAAGAGGAAAGGATTATAGACCACTGGTTCTTAACCTTTTTAAGGTAACAGCACCTCTCCTTGGATTCAAGGCACTCCTCAGAAAATGCCAGCTCTTGGCTTTCACTTATTTGTTGACTATTAAAAAGTAACAGCAATTCTTCTGTTGCACAGAACTCAGAAAGACAACAACAAGGCAGGATTTTTTAAACCCTCTGGATCCCTATTTAAAATGTCTGGGTTTGCACATCCAATAATGCTAATACTGTAGCACTCTTAAAAGGATCTTGTGATACCCTATAGTGCTGTGGCACCTTGGTTCAGAATCATTAGATTAGACTCAGTTTCATTCATGGGTACACTCCCATTTGCTCTATATCATTCCTAATACTGTTAGTAGTTCTGTATTTATGTCAAAGAGAGAACCATCTTCCTCTTAAAGGAGTTATTTCTTGTGAAAATGCACAGTGGAACTTTTCAAAATAAAAATAAGGGTTAACTGTACCATAGGCAGCCAGTATAACATTGGTCCCATTGCATAGATCACCACAAGTATGAATATACAAGATATCAGGCAAGCCACCTAAAAACAAACAAACAAACAGAAAAAAACACAACTTTAGTCAATCTGTATAGGAAATCTAAAACCAACTGAATATGCTAGGTTTGTCAAAAATGCTGAGACTCATAAAATATTGTAGACGCACTGTGGATACAATGTAGACAAGCTAAATATTTTGGCTATCAGGATATCTGTAGATTGCAAACATTTGTGGATAATTTCAGTTTTAGCCTCTGGAAAATTACCCTTTGCCCAATTAAGTGCAAATATTTGTATTAAAAATCAGTATTGGCCTCGATCTCAATGTCATATACAAAAGCACTATGTAACTTGTAACATCAGTTGCTGAAATAGGCATGCATATCTGGAAGCAGATTTCACAAGATTAATAGCAATGTGTGTTTATTTTGTATTAGCATTTACCAGAGGCATAATTAACAATTTTTTTGCCCTTGGCAAAATGCTGTGCGTAGGAGAAAGTGCTGCTGAGCAACAGAGAACATGGGGTTGGCATGTTAGTTTTACCTAACATAGGGACCCAAAGTCCACGGCTTCGTCTGGCACATAGTTGTCTGCCCACCTGTTTGCTGCAGCTGCTGGGCAGAGTACTTGCACCCAGCTGTTGCTGCTATAGCCATGGTGTGGGGCTGCTACAGCTGCAGTGTCATCCTGGCACCCCACTAAATGGGTGCCTGAGATTGGTGCCATGCTCCCCCACCCCAGGTTTCCCTAGTAGCATTTACAATAACAACTAGGGCTGTGCAAAACAGCAGCGATCCATTTCAACCAGTGTTTCAACGTTTCAACAGAACAACATTTCATTTCAAATTTTGTTTCAATTTGAAACAACTGTTCCGTTTTGTTCTGTCGAAACGGCGAAACTGTTTTGACATTTTGCCCATAGGCTATAATCAGGAAGAACAAAACAGCCTATAACTTTGTCATTTCTGGCTTGATTTGGAGGAAACATGCAGGAATAGTAGCCACTTCTGAGGGTATAAAGCCTAACAAGTTTCAGGGAGATAGGTGCAGGGGATTTGGGGAAACTGCACCCCAAAGTTTTAAAAGCAAAACTCATGTCATATTTATGTGTTAAGCCACAGTGGGGTCAAAACTGCAGGCATGCTAGCCCCTGTGGAGGCCACAAAGCCTGCCAAGGTTCAAGGAGATAGGTGCAGGGGTTTGGGGGAAACTGTACCTCAAGCTGCGGACAAGCAAAACTCATGACATGGGAACAAGCAAAACACATGGCAGGGGCTTCCAGAACCCCTGTACCCATCTCCTTGACAGCTGGCAGGCTTTGTGGCCTCAGCAGGGGCTAGCAGGCCTGCAGCTTTCAACCTGCTGCGCCTTAAGACACTCAGTGTCACCCATGTAACAAGTTTTGCTTACCTGCAGCTTGAGGTACAGTTTCCCCCAAACCCCTGCACCTATCTCCTTGAACCTTGGCAGGCTTTGTGGCCTCCACAGGGGCTAGCATGCCTGCAGTTTTGACCCTACTGTGGCTTAACATATACATGTGACACAAGTTTACTTTCAAAATTTGGGGTGCAGTTTTCCTGAAATCCCTGCACCAATCTCCTTGAAACTTGCCAAGCTTCATGCTCGCAGAAGTGGCTACCATTCCTGCAAGTTTCATCCAAGTCAAGCTGGAAATGACAAAGTTACAGGCTGTTTTGTCCTTCCCCATTATAGCCTATGGGCAAAACGTTGAAACAGCGTCGAAACAGTGAAACGTTTCAACTAGCTTCCTTTTGTTCCAAGGCTGTTTTGACTATATCTGTTCCATTTCAAGTTTTCTGTTTTGACCTCGAAATGGGTCGAAACAGTGTTGAAACAAAACTGGCGGCAAAATTCTGCACAGCCCTAATGACAACCCCTTCATCTTGGACTCTGCACAGCTACTTATCATCAAATTTAATAATGCAGTAAGAATATTTTTTAAACTCTTAATCCTATTAATTATTTTGAGCAGGAGGAGTTTTGTACTTCCTTTATTCTTACTGAGAGAAAAACTTGTATTTTGCCAGCTCTCAGTGAGCATCCCTGTGAAGGATCAATGTATTTTACTCAAAATAGATGCACCAGCAATCCTCAATATAAAAAAAATGGTTTGTGCAGGAAACAGGAATCAAAACAAAGGCATACAGAATTCAAGGACTCTATGCTTCTAGGTAATATTGTACTATGTTAACCTGGTGAAAACTGCAAATGAATAACCTAATCCTGTATAACAGGATTATGTCACAGTGCTCATTAGATCTCAATCAAGTTCTATCCAGCTTTATAGAAGGTATTTGGCAATAGATAGATAGGTATTTGCCTGCTTTTGATCCTGATAAAGTGTTTCTTTAATAAAACTGTTAGGCTTCACTTTAAGAGATGAATTAATCACACTCTAGATAAAAAATATTAGGAAATGGTATGGGCAATTTATTTGACAAACACCATCAGCAAGTCTGCTGCTTCCCGGGGGCCCGCATCCGGGACATTACGGAGAGGATCCCAAAGCTCCTTAAACCCACAGACCACTATCCCATGCTCCTTATTCATGTGGGCACCAATGACACTGCTCGGAGCATTGCCAGCCAGGTCATGAGGCGCTACAGGGATTTGGGAGCGGGGTTTAAGGGCCTGGGGGCACAGGTGGTGTTCTCGTCGATCCTCCCAGTCTCAGGCTATGGGCTGAGAAGGGACAGGAGGATCTATGTGGTCAACCAAAGACTGCAGCGCTGGTGTCGTCAGGAAGGCTTTGGCTTTCATGACCACAGCCTGCTCTTTGGCGAGAGAGGCAGCGAGCTGCTGGGAAGGGATGGCCTCCACCTCTCTCCCCTAGGGAGGAGGCTCTTCTCAGCCAGACTGGCTGACCTGCTCCACTGGGCTTTAAACTAAGCCCGTTGGGGGACGGGGGGACTACCGCCACTGCTGGCCCGCTGAGGAATCCTTGCAAAGCCAGCAGATCACAGCGCTTCAGGGAGCCCACCCCTGCCCCAGCCCTGGTACTTGTTTACCCTAAGAACCATCCTCTTTATAGGGGTTTAATTCTGCAGGACAGACTCCATAGTTTGGACATAGAAGATTGTTTGGTAAATCTGTGCTAAGGCTAGCTCTAGGTAGAGGTAGTTGCCTTAAAGAAAATTAAATGAATAATAATTTTGCATTTTTTTTTTAATTCAGGAAACTTCTGGCATGATTTAGTCTCACTTCCCAGAAGGTATCCGATGCAATGCTCTCCTTCTCGAACACGTACTCCTAGCAGCACGTGATTGTTTCCCATTAGTGAAGTGGTCCAATAACTGCCTTCTTCTATGAATAAACTAGAGCAACCCTAATTTAATTTTGAGGAAAGTAATTTCACTCTTGTTTATCTCCTGGAAACATACCTCCTCATTATGGTTGATGAAATTGTGACAGCATCATGGCTGGTCTTGTTCAAACTTAGATTTGCGGTCAGAAATGAAAAAGACCTTCATGCACTAACGTTTAATTATAAAAGCACTTTTTGCACTACTCCAAAACCAAACCCATAGTTCTGTGTATTTGGCTTTTTTCTCTTTCAGGTAATGATAAAGAGGTGGAGAACCAACCTTGGCCAAATCTGTACTTAGTTCTGGGAAAGTCTGAGTTTTGGCAAATATGCTGAGGAAAATGTAATGACCAGCAAACCTGAGGCTGAGGCAGCCCAACATTTTATCTCCTGAGTCTAATTTCAAGTTTTCTGACATCTCTTAATTGACTTCAGTGCATGCATTTGATGGCATCACTTTAGTTTTCCAGAAATGCTTGCACAGTTTGGAGGGGGAAAAGAAACCATTTTCTGAGTGGATACCAGCACTGCTGTAACTATCAGTAGTAGATTCATGGCAGAACATGCTCAGATTCCCAGCAACACTGAAACCAACCACAATTTTTTCTTTGAGGTTTGAGATGGTTTGGACTATTATTCTTCTGAAGAGTAGAAAATAGGAGGATACTTTTAACCTATTAAATAGGTACTTTGCGTCAGTCTTTCATCAGTCCCATGGGACGCCCATGCCCGCTACAGGGCCGGGAAGTCCGGGTGAGGGTGATCCCCTGCCCTCCATTAATGCTGACTTTCTGAAGGAACATCTTGAGAAGCTGGATACCTTCAAGTCAGCTGGCCCTGACAATCTTCACCCCAGGGTACTCAAGGAGCTGGCGAGCATCATAGCCCAGCCTCTAGCACGGATCTTTGAAAACTCTTGGCGCTCTGGTGTAGTGCCCGAAGACTGGAAGAAGGCCAATGTGGTGCCTATCTTCAAGAAAGGGAGGAAAGTGGATCCGGCTAACTATAGGCCCATCAGCCTGACTTCTATCCCGGGGAAGATCTTAGAAAAGTTTATTAAAGAGGCCATCCTTAATGGACTGGCCGACGCCAACATCTTAAGGGATAGCCAGCACGGGTTTGTTGCGGGTAGGTCTTGCTTGACCAATCTCATTTCCTTCTACGACCAGGTGACCTATCACCTGGACAAGGGAGAAGAGATTGATGTCATATATCTTGACTTCAAAAAAGCCTTCGATCTGGTGTCCCATGATCGCCTCTTGGAGAAACTGGCCAATTGTCGCCTTGGGTCCTCCACGATCCGCTGGCTGGAAAATTGGCTCCGGGGTCGGACCCAGAGGGTAGTAATCGATGGAAGTCACTCATCGTGGTGTCCTGTGACCAGTGGGGTCCCCCAAGGCTCTGTCCTTGGACCCATACTGTTCAACATCTTCATTAATGATGTGGACACTGGAGTCAGAAGCGGACTGGCCAAGTTCGCCGATGACACCAAACTTTGGGGCAAAGCATCCACACCAGAAGACAGGCAGGTTATCCAGGCTGACCTGGACAGGCTCAGCAAGTGGGCGGATGAGAATCTGATGGTGTTCAACGCCGATAAATGCAAGGTTCTCCTTGGGAAAAAAAACCCGCAGCATCCTTTTAGGCTCGGCAGTGCTATGTTGGCTAGCACTATGGAAGAAAGAGACTTGGGGGTCATCATTGACCACAAGATGAACATGAGCCTGCAATGCGATGCGGCGGCTAGTAAAGCGACCAAAACGCTGGCTTGCATCCATAGATGCTTCTCAAGCAAATCCCAGGACGTCATTCTCCCCCTGTACTCGGCCTTAGTGAGGCCGCAGCTGGAGTACTGTGTCCAGTTTTTGGCTCCACAATTCAAAAAGGATGTGGAGAAGCTTGAGAGAGTCCAGAGAAGAGCCACGCGCATGATCAGAGGTCAGGGAAGCAGAGCCTACGATGACAGGCTGAGAGCCCTGGGGCTCTTTAGCCTGAAAAAGCGCAGGCTCAGGGGTGATCTGATGGCCACCTACAAGTTTATCAGGGGTGACCACCAGCATCTGGGGGAACATTTGTTCACCAGAGGGCCCCAAGGGATGACGAGGTCGAATGGTCACAAACTACTTCAAGATCGTTTCAGGCTGGACATAAGGAAGAACTTCTTTACTGTCCGAGCCCCCAAGGTCTGGAACAGCCTGCCACCGGAGGTGGTTCAAGCGCCTTCATTGAACACCTTCAAGATGAAACTGGATGCTTATCTTGCTGGGATCCTATGACCCCAGCTGACTTCCTGCCCTTTGGGCGGGGGGCTGGACTCGATGATCTTCCGAGGTCCCTTCCAGCCCTGATGATGTCTATGAAAGTGGAAACAGAGAGAGTGCCCAAAGGAAAAAAAAGGAAAGAAAGAGGTTCACAAGAAATTCTTTTTGTTGAGAGAGAGAAGACTGTTTTTGGTACTGGTTGAGGGATTTATCAAGGCCCTTCACCCCCATTTGCTGCTAAACTAAGCTATCATGAAAAGGTAAATGATCAGAACACTACACAGTCCAAATACAGGCGATGAGGAAAACATGAAAATGTCATTAAATGTTGTGATTCTCAGCCTTTTTAAACTCCAGGCATCCCTCATTAGACTCAAGGCACCCCTCAGAAAATGTCAGCTCTTAGCTTTCACTCATTTTTTGATTACAGAAAAATAAAAGAGCAAGTCTTCTGTTGCAAAGAACTCAAAGACCACAACAGGTCAGAATATTTTTAACACACTGGATTCCTATTTGAAATCTCTGAGTTTACCTTGCAAATCGTGTATAGGTGTTTGTACTCTCAGTGCCCGTAAAGGGATTTCATGGCAGCCCAGGGTGCCACAGCACTCTGATTGGGAACCACTGCTCTAAAATCAGGGCTGATACAAGTCTGCATGTGGCTCTGTACATTTCCCTGATAACACAGGCCTCAGTCCACTGACTTCTTTCTATGCAGTCATCCTAACCCACTGTTTTCTCCTCACTGATGATCCCCACTGATGTCTGTCACATCCATCAGCCTCTGATGCTCATCCACTTTCATCCACGAGAGGTTGAACTGATGTTCAAACTTTCAAAAAGAAGCAGAAAAGAATAGGTAAAAGAATTTCATCTGTCACGACTTACTAGCATTAGTGTTAGAAAAAGTTACAGGCAAAGAATGGAAAATGGCAGGTCAAGTGGAGATATAAATTAAAGATCCACACTGGCGATGCATAGAGGGTGCATGGCCTGTCAGGCTGAACTCCCCACTTAGGTGACAAGCAGGGGGGCAGGTGAGAGTGCCAGTGCCCCCCCCCCCGAGCAATGGTTGGAATAAAGCACTGGATGAAGTGGCTGTGGCACTCCCAGAAGTGGCTGTGGCTGCTTCCAGGAGTTCTGTGGCCACCTTCAGGTGAGTGAGATTGGCCACGGAAGGACCCCCCTGGCCCTCAGTTGGCAAGATTGGCTGCGGGGAGGGGAAGCCTCCCCCCATTATAGTGAGATTGGCCATGACAGGACCCTCCTCCCAGTTGCTGATTGGTCACTGGGGGGGGGGGCATGTGCCCCCCCCGACTCAGATGGCACCAGTCGCCCATAAAGATCCATGCAAGATCAGAGCTCTGTGCAACCATATTGTTTGTGTAATACATGGTGGAATAACATGGAATTAGAGAAGGATCTGTGAGGCAGACACTGACTATCCACTCTTTAGTATAAATGTTCTGATTTTAATAGTTTATTCCATTATGTATTAAATATTATAGAAGTGTTAGTGTTCCAGCATGTTCCAGTTTCATAACTGGAAAGTCCTTTACACTGTGGTAGGCACAGAATTGAAGGAAAATTTCATGGGGAATATTTTACTTGTTTTTTTCAGAGCCTCTAGCCAGATTTGTTCAGTGTGCTGTTGCAATTAACTACTGATGGCTCTTGTTCTTTTGTCTGATGTTATCACCTTTGTATTAGAAATCAGAGGACTCTACTGCTTTCTAGTTACTTTCACCATGTGTGTCCAGTTCCAGGCAGCATGCCAGTGAACTTAATTTTCTCTGTATACATTGTCTATCCTGAATAACCCTGACTGCTGGGCCTAAGGGTCATACACTTTCACATGCACCTTAGCATCACTGAATATGTGAAGCAGATTCCTCCCTATGTTAGAGATCTGCTTGCCACAGGACAAACAAGGTGTCAGGAAGGTAGGTCCAGCTGCCTAATTCTGTGGGCCAGTCCCAGCAGCGATGTAATTCAAAGTTGCTGCTGGATAGTGTTATGTTACACCACAGCTGGAGCAAAGTGAAGCAAAGCTCCATTCCCTACAGGGTAGGGAAGAAGGAACAACAGGGCCTGCCAAAGGCAGAAAAGTACCAGCGAGGAGTTCTGTTACTCCAGGGAAAATCCTTGCTAGAGATGTGCACCTGGCTTTTAGCCATCTTACACTACTCTTACAAAAGAGACAGAACCCCATGAGAGCCTTATGATTTGCTTCTCTTTATAGTTCTCTTCATCCCTGCATGCCTTCAAAGCCTCTGCACCCTTTCTAGAGGATGCCTGGTATATAAGAACTTAAATGAATACCACAGTGACTGAAGTATGGAATGAAGTATGTCTCTGAAGTATGGATCAGAATACAGTAGATGTGAATGGGTAATAGACAAAGATGCTATGCTAAGATGATGAGTCTCTGTATGTTGTCACTCAGACTCAGGGACTTGAAACATCTAGTAAATGAAGTACTAGAAAAAGATTCTTGTAATGTTAATGCTTTTTAAGGAAGTTTTTTTTTATTTATTTATTCATTGCAACTTACCTAGCTCGTACTATATTGTGTGGGCTAATTATAAAATATCTGCACAGTATTTTGGAAATATAAAGTGCCATGTACCTGTTTATTATATACAAGTATTACAGTATTCCAGAGAAATGGTCATGGGATATGATCTGAAAGTTTTGAGCACAATCTGTAAGCGCAAAGTGTGGATAATATTTTGTCCCAATTCTGGGCATGCACTCCCATCAGCTACCATGGTAGTTCTACCCCAAAAGGTAACAGTACTCTTGGGTCTCTCTTTACATGAATTCGTCTTGTGCAAATTCGCTTATATGCAACCATCTTATTTATACCAGAAATTCGCTTTGTGTGAGAAAAATTTGATCTTATGTGAAGAGGCATGCAAAGCAGCTATGCATGTAATAATGGACTCGCTTTACGTGAATTTGCTTTATGCAACCTTTTTTTGGAATGCAACCCTCACATAAAGAGAGACCCAAGTACATGGCCATTCATATGGTTCAGTTAACACAATGCAGAGCATTAGCAAAGTTATGTTTCTGGGATCAGCATTCTGATGTCAGAGTTCATTGTTTTCAATTACTATGACAAGACTTTTGTTTTGCAACAGGTACAGATATCCGATATATGCCCTGGAAAAGCTGAACGTGCCAACTCCGCAAGTATATACTATACACAATGAACACACTATGACACAGTACAAGCACACCATCACACAAACCCAAAGCTGGCAAATTAACTTATTCTTTTAGGAATGGTTTTCCAAGTTTATTTTAACTTTGTTTTGAAAATCTACAACTATAAAAGTTGTATTTAAATACTTCCAGACACATTCTAATTCTTTTTTCACTCCAAGCTGGCAAAAATGAAATCCTTCATGCACCACTAGAGGGCACTTTTGTCATGATGGTAACAGTTGCAAATAAAACTGTAAAAGTTCTTACGTAGTTGCTGCAGCTTCTCCATACAGGGGATAAAAGCAAGGCCCTTTTCCAAGATTAAATTTCATAATGAATTAAATATATATACTGAGGAAGAAATCAATTTGTTCTCCTAGCATGGTAGTGGCTTACTATACATAAGGCCATAAGGATTATTAAAATTATATGGCAAGTTCAGATCTCTTTCCACCTCAGTTGGTAAACTCAGACTGTGGGCTGGGGAAACATGCCTGGATGTTGAGAAGGTGGAATCGGGCATAGAGATTGGTGTATAGGAAGGGTGAAAGAACAGTATTGATATTTGCTTAGAAACAAGCTGATTCCTGAGATTTCCATGTTAGTGGTACAGAGAGAACAGGATTAGGTAATGGATACAATTGGTACAAAATGTAATAGGCAACACAATAAGCTCAGTTTTCTTACCTAGTTAGTCTAATGAGTTACCTGAGTTTTTGCTCCAGTGCTGTACAAAAGTGCAGTACGTCCCATTGCTGCAGCACTTGGTATGCAAAAGAAAAATGAAGGAATCACATTGCTGAGGCCATGAGCCAAAAATTCCTGCAAAGTTTTTAAAAAGAATACATTGTTTTTCATCTTATTCTGTCATTTCAATGCTTCTTGCCAGCAAAGGAGTTCCCTATGTAAATATTAGCAATTATAAAGAACAGCAGCCTGTTAAGGGAAAGACTGTTACATACAGTGTAAAAGATCTCCCAGCACAGTACACATTCTTGTGGCATTCAGTACTAATCTGAATGGAATAGAGGCTGAGCCAGATTCATCAAATGCAGAATAGGGAGATATATTTTGATTGCAGAATAAATGGCCTGCCTACTTATTAAAGACAGGCTCCAACCAAAACATTTATATCCAGATCCACATCTGCATTTTGAACAGCCCAAAGTATGCATTATTTAGACCTGGAGTACATTCAGGCCCCTCTATGGCTCTCATTTGTTTATTTTTAATAGGAAATAGTGGAAAGGAATGGTTACTTACCTTCTCCTTGAAAAGAAGGTTTTACTGAGTGTCAGGATTGATATTGATATCTCAAAATTTATAGGGTAGATATCATTACAAATGGGCTTCATGCCTCACCTATTTAGTGAAATGCAGGTACTTCTGGGCAAAGATTTATGTATGAAAAAACAAATGAAATTAGGAAGACACATAAGATCTTGCAGCCACAGACTCAGCTGAACAGTGTGTTCTAATACACAGTCCTGTTCTTCCTCCCCAGCATCAATGTACTGAGTGGGAAACAGAGCACAGGGACCCCATTTATCCTCTCCAAGCTCAGTGCACAAAGAAAGTCACTAATGCTGCTGCTAGCGCTTAATGCCCCATAGGTGGTGAATGTGCTCATAGCTGATGATTGATCCCTGAAAACAAGGGAATATATATGACATATTCTCTAAATGTGCAGCAAGGGCTTTATGATCATGTTCCCCTAGACATTTTTCCTTTGTATCCATGCCTATCTTATACCACCACCACCACCACCACTGTACCTTTTCCCATTTCCCAACAAAAAATGGCTCCCTGACACAAACAGAAAGTATTAACAAAGTGCGTATGTGAAGAAATAATTTTTAAAATATTAAGTTGACAAGATCAGGAGTCGACAACCTGAGGCCTGTGAAAAGATTTGATAGTCCCTCAAGCACACCAAAAATAATATTGCTGTTCCCACCACTATTTCATTTTGTATAAGAAGAAACTGTTTAGTGAATGAATACCTAACAACTGCTGCCTCCAGCCCACCTTAGTCGGTGAAAGTTGCCACCTTTGAACAAAAACATTCACACTGTATTTCTCAATGACATAATGACACAAGGCTAGGAACAGAAGTTACACCTAAACTGGTTTAAGTCATCAGAAACTGGTTTAAACTTGTAACAGGACAGCTGTTCAGTGCATATAAACCAGTTTCAAAGTGGCTGAAACTGGTTTAAGTGGTTTAAACTGATTGAATGTAGTATCAGACTTAACTGGTTTGGGTCAAACTGGTTCATGAAACTTCTTGTCCCAGACTCCTTCCTGGTTCAAGTTAAATCACAGTTCCCCAGCATCCCAAAATGTTTTGCAGCCCTGGGCTGGGCTGGGCTGCTTGCTCCAGAAGAGAAGGGTTGGGGAGGGGAAGGCAGGGACTGCTCCCACCAGGCAAACCCCGGCTGCGGTCTGGGGCTAGGGAGGGGAGTTAAACTTCCCTTCCCCTGAGTACAGAGCTGCCCTGCCCTAGTAAAAACTTACTGATGGATGCAACTGTGGACTACAAATCCCAGAGGCACCTAAAAGCAGGAAAAGGAAGCGATGACTAACCCTATAGAGTCCTGCTGCTGTGATTGTAGATTGCAAATCCCAGAAACCTTAGGGGCAGCAGAAAAAGGAAGCAAACACACAGCCCATGTTGTCTATGTGCCAGAGAGCCATGGTCTGGCACCCACAGCTTCTGGCCTTAGCCACTGCAGGTATGTGGTTGCATTTTCTGAATCAAAAGTGAATGTCTGTCCAATTGTTTCTCAATTTAATCTCTGCAGCTTAGACTAACCTGCAAAGATTGAATCAATTCAGCCTTGGGCTTTTTGGCTGTCTGTACTTAGCCACAGGTTTTACAAAAGACATGGACAGGGAACATAAATTGGGCCCTGTTGCATAGACATTCCAATGTGCCTCCAAGCGTAAGGCCAAATTTTACCATTCAACCTTGTCTCATCCACCCCAGGCTATTGTCCCATGAGGTTGTGTTTGAATTTTAATCCCACAGGATATGGGGCAATATGGCATTTGTCCAGATGCACATGTATTTTCCACCAAAGCATTTATGTTAGCATTTAAAAATTCTCTGTCAGCCTAGAGTAGCTTAGACTCCCTCTGCTTCCAGGAGAAAGAGTAAATATTCCACCCTTTCTCAGCCTCCCCATTGTTGAATGGGACCCAGAAGGATTCCTGGAGCTAAAGGTTTAACAGCATTGTCTGAACCAGCCGTGACTCTACTCTATATAAAAATAAGCTCTTAAATGAGGTTCATGCTTTGCACACACTTCATTCTATGTTATCAGATGAGTCTTTAAGGCCATAAGTACCCAGTTCATTCCAGGAACTGCTCTAATTTCTTAACTCTGTGTTCCATTTAAAATTCTTCTCTGGTTAAGCTGTGTGGGAAGAACCTGCCTGATGTTAGGACACTAGAAGAATACAATGGCACCCAAGCTTGCTGCTGTCTAAGCTGAATTCAGTATTGCGTGGGTGCTACTGTAGACTGTTTCATCTCAGAATCAGTAGCTGCCTCCACAGCCTCATAGACTTTGCAAAGTAATTCTATTTGGATTCCGTGTTTATCTACATCTGGAAAGTCAGCATGATAATATATGAAACTCCTTATTCACCTGCCAGGCTACTGTATGCTTCCCATATATTTCCTTAATTAAAGAGTTCACAGGTACAGAGAGGAATGCTTTCATTCAGGATGCTTTACCTGATTGTCATCCACAGAGTACTGGAATTTTTTAGCAGATGCTTTGGCCAGGGCTAGTGATGCTACATAGCCAACTAGTGCCACTCCAAAAGCTTCTGTTATTACTTCAGAGAGGACATTCATGGTTGGGGCTTTCAGAGGTGGCATCCTGTAAAGATAAAGACAATCCTTTATATTTTAATAAGCATAAAGCACTTGTGATAAATCCTGCACAAAAGCTATATAGATATAGGTCTTGTGAGACAGGTTATTTTGCTCTAATTTGCCCATCATGCTACTAGAATTCCAGCTGCAAAAACAGTAACAACACAGGAGTTAATATTAGCATTCCTACTGTTGCTGTTATCAGTGGCATAAACTCATGTTGGCAAAGTAATAAATTCAGAATGAAAGCTCACCACCCTGAAAATGAAAGATACATTGATCCTAAAACCAGACAGTTTTGTACAACAACATTTATTTTACATGCTTAATAAGCAAATGATGGGTGGGATAGATATAACAAAAGCAACTCGGTGCAAGAGTTTAGGAAAAGACTAATAGCCATTTAAAAATTGGAGGGAGGAATTCAAATAGACATATTTAACTATCTAAGATGGAATCTCCATGTACTACATTTGCATTTTTCATAGATTTCATAGACATCAGGGCTGGAAGGGACCTTGTAAGATCATCGGGTCCAGCCCCCTGCCCAAGGAGCAGGAAGTCAGCTGGGGTCAAATGATCCCAGCAACATAGGCATCCAAGTGCTTTTTGGAAGTGTACAGCATAGGTGCTTGCACCACCTCTGTGGGGAGTCTATTCCAGGCCCTGGGAACTTGGCCAGTAAAGAAGTGTTTCCTTATGTTCAGCCTGATACGGTCTTCCAGGAGTTCCTGACGGTTGGACCTTGACTTCCCTTGGGGTGCCCTGGTGAACAGATGTTCTCCCAGCTCCTGATGCACACCCCATATGTACTTAGGGCTGACTTGGTGGCAGCCTATAAGTCTATGCTTTTCCAGGCTGAAAAGCCCCATGGATCTTAGCCTCTCCTCATAAGGCCTGCTCTGAAGTCCTCTAATCATACACGTGGCTCTCTTCTGGACCCTCTTAAGCTTCTCCACATCCTTTCTGAATTGCGGAGGCCAGAATAGGATACAGTACTCCAGTTGCAGCCTCACCAAGGCTGAGTAAAGCAGGAGGATGACTTCCTGGGTCTTGCTTGAGATACATCAGTAGATGCAAGCCAGGGTTTTGTTTGCTTTGCTGGCTGTAACATCGCATTGGTGGCTCATGTTCATCTTGTGGTCAATCATGATCCTCAAGTCTCTTTCAGTCATGGTGCTAGTGAGTGTAGCACTGCCAAGTCTATAGACACATATAGTCCTTGAGGAGCAACCACTCGCTGTGGACTCCCCTCCCTGTCAAATTATGGCCTCTCAGAGCCTTGTCAACTAGCCTCCTGAGCTTGTGAAAGTCGACTTTCCTAAAGTCAAGGACTTCCGCAGTCCTGACTAACTTGCTAGCTTTGTGGTGGATAGAGAAAGTGATCAACTCAAGGTCACTGTTTTCCAGCTTCCCTTCAATGCTTAGGTCATTCACTAGATAGTCCCCTTTGGCCAGTACCAGGCCTCTTGTCAGCCTGTAGACTTATTGGGATAAATAGAGTCCGTCAATGCATGTGAGGAAGCATTGTGATCGATCGGATTTGGCAGAGTGCTCTTCCCATGAGATGTCAGGGTAACTGAAGTCACCCATGACAACCATGCACCAAGCGTGTGCAACCTCAGCCAGTTCCCTAGAGAATTTGTGGTCAACTTCTTGCTCCTGATTAGGAGGTTTGTAATAGACTCCTACCATTATATCCCCTTCACCATGTTCCCCCTGTATTCTTACCCAGGGGGTCTCATGTCACCTTCCTTAGTTGCCAATCTCCACCTGTAGAGAAGTGTACTGTTCCTTCACATAGAGAGTTTCACCCCTGCCCTTTCAACATGATCCCTTGCAACATGATCCCTCCTGTACAAGTTATAGCCATCTATACCTGTGATCCAGTCATAGGTGGAGTCCCACCAGGTCTCCGTTATCTCTATGAGATCATAGTCATTTCTGTTTAGCAGAAGGTCCAGTTCCTCCTTTTTGTTGCCCAGGCTCCTGGCATTTATGTATAGGCAAGTGATCCTGCCATTGGAGACCCTAGGCTTCCCTGCACTCCTGGAAGAGCCCTGTCCCTGGGCTGGGGTAGGAGTGAGTTCCCTTGTGCAGCCTGATGAGTTGATTTTGTGGTTGATGCTTGGTGGGCTTGCACTGGTGGTTATCCACCCATCCCCCAGTGAACTTAGTTTAAAGTGCGATCAAGCAGGTCAGCCATTGTGGCTGAAAAGAGCATCTTCCCCATTTGAGTGAGGTGGAGGCCATCCCTTCCCAACAATTCTCTGTCCCTGTCTGTTTCTGAAGTATGGACTGTGGTAATAGAAGCTGAAGCTTTCACGATGGCACCAGCACCACAGTCTTCTGTTTACTTCTACAGTTCTTCTCTCCCTCCTCTTCCTGTGACCTGTAACCAGAAGGATCGAGGAGAAAACCACCTGCACCCCCAACCCTCTGAGACCTGCTCCCAGAGTCCTGTAGTCATTCATGACCCGGGACTGCTCTGAGCCATGTCATTCATGCCCACATGGATAAGAAGCATAGGGTAGTGGTCAGAGGGCTGTATAAGTTTTGGCTACATCCTGGATATGGGCCCCTGGGAGGCAGTTGACCTCATGGGCTAAGGGGCCAGGGCAGCAAATCACTCCCTCAGTCCCCCTCAAGAAGGAGTCTCCCACAATGACTACTCTGTATTTCTTCTTAGGGGTGGTTGCTGGTTGTCTTTCTTTTTCAGGTGCAGAAGCTGGTGGCTCTGCTGCTCTACTGGTGCTGCAAGGAGTTTGTACCTGTTGTGTAGATCCATGAGGGTGGTGACCCTGGTGCAGCGAACCTTAGGGCCAGAGATAACCTTCGTCGAAGCAACCCCTGGCTGGACATTATGAGCGCTCCTCTTGTCCACCCTTATCTTGCCAGCCAACCTTGCTCTTCCCTCTTCTTTCTTCTGGTAGAGAGTCTGGCAATAAGAGTCATCCTCCTCTTCATCATCCCTGATGGCACACAGGCCTCTGCACCGTGGCCTGGAGCTCCCCTATCCAGTACTCCAGAGGCTCCAATGCAGAGCAAACCTCACAAGGGGAGGTGTCATTGCTCCTGATTCCATGTGCTTGCAGATGTGCCAGGCAGATCCACAGCTAAGAGCCAGGGACCGCATCTGAGTGGAAGCCTGAACCATGGGTTCCGTCTGGGTGGAGGCCTCAGAGGTGCCTGGGGGGGACAGCCACGGAGGGGATCTTTGGGGTGCAGTGCATCACCACCATGGTAGAGATAGTAGTCTGAGCTACTACTGTGCCAACCCTTCTCTTCAGGCTCACCACCTGGAGCCTTGTGCCCCACCTGCTCACCCTCCTGCATGAACTCCCACACTAACTTTGGCACTGGGTCCAGAGTGCCCCTCCTTGCATACTGTGTTTGCAAGTCTCCAGTTGCGTGGATTCCTGGGGGGCTGGGCCAAGTAGAAGCTGGGTAGGGGCATGAGCCTCCTTGGCTCCTCTCAGCTGCTTCCCGCAGATGACTAGCTCCCACTCACTGTGGGCCCCACCTATCTCCCAGCTACACAGGGGGTCAGGGTCCGGGTCTGCTGGGTGACCCTCCCACTGGGGGTCCTTGGGATCCAAGGCAAATGGGGGCATGATGGGCTTCCGCCCATGTGTCTTGTACCAGAGCCAGACCAAACTGTGGCTTCTGCTGTTGGCAAGCCCTTTTAAATTCTTTGTATGAACAGTGGGCCCACCACCAGTGCTGCACTGCTCTCAGGCTGTGGGGCACTGCCCTGCCAGAGAAGGGGGCAGGTAAGTGCCCCCCTTCCCTGTCTCACATGCTGGGTGGCACCGGTTGCATGGCTCCCTGGGGGGCTGGGCCAAGTAGGAGCCGGGGGGGTGATACTCCTCGGATCCTCTCAGCTGCCTCCCACAGCTGACTCCTACCCACCATGAGCCCCACCTACCTCCCAGCTATGTTGGGGGTCAGGGTCGGGGTTCACTGGGTATCCTGCTGGGGGTCCAAGGTTCATGGGGGTATCTTGCTCCAGAACTGAACCAAACTGCAGTTTCTGCCATTGATGGGTCCTTTTAAATTCTGTGCATGCACAGTGGGCCCACTGCCGGCACTGCAGTGTTCTCAGGGGTTGGGGGTTACTGCCCCACTGGAGAAGGAGGCAGGTAAGTGCCCCTGCCTTCCCTGTGTCATACACCAGGTGGCACCAGTCGTGTGGCTCCCTGCGGGGCTGGGCCAAGTAGGAACTGGGGGGGACATGACCCTCCTCGGCTCCTCTCAGCTGCCTCCCACAGCTGACTAGCTCCCACCCACTGTGGGCCCCATCTACCTCCCGGCTAGGATCAGGGTTAGGGTGGGGGTCCCCTGGGTGTCCTGCTGGGGGTCCGGGAGGTCTGGGGCTCGCAGAGGCATGACAGGCTTCTGTTTGCGCATCTCACACTGGAGCCAGACCAAACTGCAAACAATTTTTCAACAACCCTGCAGTAATTCTGTATGCATTAAGTAGCATACAGAATGATTTGACCAGAAGCTGCAGAAGTGAAACTCAACTCTTCATGACGTCTATAAAATAAACACATATATTGCTGTTTAACCCTTGGACACATGAAATGTAATTTGCCCCAAACATTGCACAGAATTCACACTCTAAGGAGCTCCCAACATGCCAATCCCTCACTAGAAGCACATTCTTGGAGTCTACAGAGTGCTCAATGACTGTGTCAGAAAAACCCTGAAAATGAATTAAAAAAGTGAAGAGCTAACTTTCTGATCCCCATCTTTAAATCTTATAGGGTGGTAATGATCATGAAGAACAGGTCCAGGATGGATGGAGACCATTGGGTTCATGAACCCTAATGAAACAGGTTCTCTTGATCAATAACATGTGCCTCACTTTAATGTCAAGGCACCACATATTAATTTAGGAGCAGGGAATTGAACCAAATTCAACGCCTGTCCCTAATATCAACTGGTATTTTTCTTAAATTGACTAGTTGGTCCTATACAGTAATGGAACAGCTCTGATGCTATGAGAGAGACTGCCTTTCTTAGGGATATATCTACACACCTGTCCATTTCGGGGGCTGAAATGAGTACAGATAAGTCCTATTTCCTGTTCTTTTATAATTTAGCTGAGCTTTTGAGCAGCTGTACTTAAAATATGAATAAATTTAAAAACCACAAGCAAATAAAAAACATATTACCCTTCTGGAATATGTCCCACAACTTCTAGGCCATAGGTGTATTCCATATCAGCATAGTAGCAGGCAAGGGATGTAGCAATTATCTATTTGATTGAACATAGAAAATGTATTAATGTTCTATCTGAGGTATTCATATGGCCCTCACTAGTGCAATATCTAAATACCTTATAGCCTTTAATGTATTTACTCTTTCAACACCCCTCTGAGGTATGGAGACAGTGCTATTATTATAAATGTGAGGAAGGCATAGACAAAATAAGATGCCAAGGCTACGCAGGAAGGGAATCTGAATCAATCATAGAGCAAAGGAATTTGAATTAGTTCTCCCACATCCCAGGCTGACACTCTAACTACTCAACCACCTTTCTCCCTAAGGCTGCCTGCCAAAGTCATGAAATATGTCACTTAGCTAATAAAAATACAGTAAAATCTCCGCTCTCTGGCATTTAACTAACTGGAAATTCCATTAACTGGAATTTCTGGCCAGCCAGCCAGCCACGGGGGGCAGACCAAGGGAAAGCTCACACACACGGCCACTGCCACCACCCTGTGTAGCAGCCACTCCATGTGTGCCTGCAGCCACACACACCCCCACATTGCATGCAGCCACTGCCTCTCTCCCCCGCCCCCGCCCCCCAGCATTATCTGAAAACCCCTGCCAGGGGGTGTCAGATAACCTTAATTTTTTACATAACCGGCAATCCCCTTCCCCAGGGATGCTGAATAACAGAGATTTTACTGTCCTTTAATTTAAACATCAAGTGCAATCATCCCCATTAGACAAGGAAGGTTGAAGAAAGAAGAGAAACCTATGGATGTTTATGCAAAAAAGAGAAATCTTGTAAGTTTTATTATAGAAAAATATGTAGCAAAAACCTTTTACTGCAAAATACTATGTAGAATCGCTCAGAAAATCAATGTACTGTAAAGAATGAGATTGTGTCAAGGTTATGCTGGTGAAATATCTATTTGCACTAAAATTCAACACATTGTAAAAAGTACTTCAAAACTGATTCAAAGCATTTTGGATATTTGCTTGTTAGTTGAGATGTGACTGCAGAACTCCAAGATAACCTGGAACTTCCAAGATTACTCAAGGGTCAGTTACTAGTGATAGCAGTGACTTCAATATAGTGTAAAGATACTCAAGCTATCTTTAAACTAATTAGTTTGGATACCAGTAGCAGTCTAGCTATGGCAGCATGGAGCTCCAGGAGGGCAAATTTACCCTGTTGAAAAGTTATTTCATTGTCCATACCATTAATTATTTTAAAATTACGGGAGTGAAGTGGACCTAGATTGTATATTTGTCTCACAACCCATGGGATATAGAGTCTCTGCATCTTCCTGATAAGTTTAACCTTTATGTTTAGTATTCTAAACAAGTTAAACTGGGTAGCTCCAAACTCTTTCAACCTAGGGGAAAGATATGTCCACCAGGGTATCAGCCATGGCCAGTGTGTGACACAGAATGAAATTAGATAGCTTTGTACATGAATAACTGAACAATTATCCTTTACGTTTCTAGATAACACAGATAACTGGCAAAAAAAGTCAGTTCAGTACAAGACAGAATAGGTAATTGGGTACCCACTCCCTAAGTTACTTCAAGCTAAATAGAGCAGGGGTTTTACAAATACTGGTGGTCACTCCTGATAAACTTATAGGTGGCCATCAGATCACCCCTGAGCCTTCACTTTTCCAGGCTAAAGAGCCCCCAAGCTCTCAGCCTGTCGTCGTAAGGTCTGTTTTCCTGACCTCTGATGTACTGCTCCCTCACATAGAGAGCTACCCTTCCATCTTATCTCCCTGCTTGGTCCATTCTGTGCAGGGTGTAGCCATCTACGGCTATGCTCGAATCATGTGAGGAGTCCCACCAGGTCTCCGTGATCCCTACCAGGTCATATTGCCCACTAGAGAGCAAGAGGGCTAGCTCCTCCTGCTTTTTCCCCATGGTCCTGGCATTGGTGTACAAGCAGCTGAGGCCCGCAACTGACACCCTCGTTTTCCTGAGACACTAGGAGAATTGTTCCATTAGCATTTTCAAAAACAGTTATCTTAGTATCCTCCACTGATTCTACTGATGTTGTGAAGTCCACTATACTGACCTATTTTTGGACACTTTTACAGAAAGACGGGATATTTTGGAATTACATTGAATTAGTTCAATGAATTAGTTCATAGATGTTTGTAAAAAGTACTACAGAACTGATTCAAAGCATTTTGTATATTTGCTTGTTAGTTGAGATGTGACTGCAGAACTCCAAGATAATTTGGAACTTCCAAGATAACTCAAGGGTCAGTTACTAGTGACAGTAGTGACTTCAATATAGTGTAAAGATACTCAAGCTATTTTTAAACTAATTAGTTTGGGTACCAGTAGCAGTCTAGCCATGGCAGCATGGAGCTCTAGGAGGGCAAATTTACCCTGTTGAAAAATGATTTCATTGTCCATACCATTAATTATTTTAAAATTATGGGAGTGTAGTGGACCTAGATTGTATATTTGTCTCACAACCCATGGGATATAGAGTCTCTCCATCTTCCTGATCAGTATCTGACCCTAGCTACTATGAAACTATGAAACTGACAGAGGTCACGTGTGAAAGGGACTTGGTGGTCATGAACAACTTCAATTACCCAGACATAGATTGGGAGGAACACTCCTGTAGGTCAGATAGGTCTTGTAGCTTCTTAACTGTAATTGAGAAGCTCTTTCTGACCCAGGAAGTACAAGGGCCAACCAGAGGTACCACTCTCCTAGACTTGGCCTTGGCCAAAGGAGAAGATCTGGTGTATGGATTGAACATTGAGGGTAACCTGGGTGACAGCGACCATGAGCTCATCAGATTCACTGTCCACTGCAAAGCTGACAAATCAATTAGCAGGACTGAAGTCCTGGACTTCAAAAATGCTGACTCCAACAGGCTCAGGGCATTAGTAGAGGAGGCGATGCGGACTGGAAGGCAAATGGGGTGCACAAAGAGTGGTCGTTCCTCAAGGATATGATTCTTGAAGCAAAAAAGAAAACTGTTCCCATGAAGAGAAAAGGTAGCAGAAGGGCTAGCAAGCCCTGCTGGCTCAATAGGGACACTGCGGTCCTCTTGAAAAAGAAAAAAGAGGTATACACACATTGGAAACTAGGGACAGTCTGCAAGGAGGCTTATGCAAAAGTGGTCCACACTTGTAGGGAA